TCGTGGATCTCCGTGATGCGAGACTTGAGCTTCTCCGAGTTCATAAGGATCCTGGGAGAAGGAGGGGGGTTTAGGCTGTGAGCCAGAGTGGGGGAGGCAGAGGAGGCAGCCTGCCAGCTCCAGCCCACAGCACGCTGCTGGAGAGACGCAATTGCGCATGCCTTGGCTCTGCACTGGGCCAGGATGATCCTTCCAGCCCCCAGAGCCCTTCCCCCAGCAGGGCAGGTCACCAGCACCCCCCGTCCTCACCGTTGCACCTCCTTCTCGTTGCCCTCCCGGCGGAAGCGCTCGATGTACTCCTTGCTGCATTTCTCCTGCGTCTGACACTGCTCCTCAAAGATCTTGATCGTCTCGTTGAAGGCCTCGATTGCTGTCCTCTTCATCTGCAGCTCCTGAAAAGGGAGGGGAGAGCTGAGGAAGGGGGAGCATTTGTGCAGGTTTCTGCCCATTCGCATCCCCTCTCTCCCCCTCCCCAAAGCAGCACTGTCCTTGCTGCAGCCAAAATACCCCCCTCTTCAAGGCCCGTTCTCTGGGGAGTCCCCTCCAGTCCAGGAGCAGACAAATGGGGCAGCGGGTGCCCGATCTCTGCTCTCCTCTGTGCACAGCAGTGCGGCTGCCAGTGATCAGGGGATGTCAGGGCAGCCCAGGGGGAAGGCAGTGCCTGCATACCTGGGAAGTGCGCGTGTACTCCTCATACAGCAGGTCGTACTCCCAGCTCTTGTCCTGGTACTGCTGGTGATAGACCTTCAGCTGCTCCCCAACGGCTTCCACGCTGTCCTCTTTCACCACTTGGTCCTGCCATACGCACAGCCTCAGTCAGGATCTGCTCCTGCCCTACAGCAGCCCGCCGGCAAGGCAGCTGGTTCCACAACACCCCCCCATCACCCCACAAAGCAATGAATGTCCCAGCACCGGGGAAGGGGTCATCTACCAAAGGGCCAGGGATGGACAAGCAAATGCCCCTGGTTCAGGCTGTGCTGGCCAGCCGCATCCCTGTGGCACAGGCCTCACCTGTTGGTACTTGGAGATGGGGTAGAGCAGCCTGGTGTCCAGCTTGGCATTGTACTGGGCAAGCGACTCGTGCCGGTAATGGGTGATGAGTTCCACCACCGAGCCGAAAGTCAGAGGCTCTGAGAAGCCATACTTCCCTTCCCGGTGAAAGATCTTGATCAGCTTGTTATTGCCTCCCTTCCTGTCATGGGGAGGGAAGAGAGGGCACTTGTCACCACCCCAGCGCGCTACACCAGCCTGACGGCTGGGCGTCCAGGCAGCCGTAAGCACCGGGACGTGTGCTGACAGCTCCACCCCAGAGCAGCGGAGGCTCTCGGGGACCCCAGTGCTCTACCTGAGCGTGAGCGTGTACTCCCCCTGGATCTTGCTGGAGGCATCGCGCACCAAGAAGGTACCATCCGGCGTATCCCGTAGCTTCTCGTTCACCTCCTCCCTGTGAGGAACATGATTGTCATGGCCTGTGAGGTGCAACCAGAGCTCCCCTAGATAACTCAATGGACAGGGCATCCAGGATGTGAGCTGCCAGCCACCCCCTTACCGGGAAATGTCACCCCAGTACCACTCGGCATCCTGCAAGGGCACGCTGTTCCCGTTGGCCAGGCTGGCTGCACTGGGCTTTGGCTTAGGCGGTTTTGGAGGCAAGGCTGTAAGAGAAGGAGGGTTGAAGCAGGGTGAGCGCAAGTCCCGGCTCCCCACCGGTAATCCCTCGGAGCACTGATTCCTCCTCCCTGCAGTGACCGTCCTGGGAAGCCCCGCTTGGACGCCACGCTGCCAGGAGCTGCTCCAGGCACATCTACAGCAGCCGATGAGCACCTCGAGCCGGCCTCCAGGCACAGCTGGGCTACAGAAACGCCCTCAGCAACCCGCTCACAGGGGCAGAGACTCCACACCCATGGAGCACAAACGCCAGCACCTTGGGCCCCAAGGAAGGGGCATCTCAGTACCTGGAGGCAACTGTTCCGGCTCCAACTCCTTCATCTGCAGAAGTATCTCCAGAAACAGCACGGAGAAGTCAGGGCTCAGCTCTGGGCTGCAGGGAGAGAGGAGCCAAGATCAGTGGTTGTGGGGGAGAACTTGGCATTGCTCCCGTGCCCCCTGGGCAAAAGGGCAGCCGGGGTCGGCTGGTTCATCCCGGCGCACAGCCCAGCTGCCAGATCCCAGGCTGAGACAGAAGCAAGGGCTCTGCCCTGGCTTTGAGTCCCACCTCTGTGTGCTGCCAGCAGTTTAATCCCACGCGCAGCGAGGCAGGGGCTGTGGGCAGACCTGCTGTTACAGGCTGGACTCCTCCTGCTGGCAGGCACAGCGGTTGATGCTTGGTACACGGCTGGAACCGGAGAGCCTCACGTACCTGGCGCCAGGCAGCCGCAGGAGAAGGGGGCCGAAGATCTCTCCCAGGGCCCGAGGGTGGAGGCTGTTGCTCTCGGCCTGCTGCGATACCTTCCCCAGATGCCGGAGCAGGAACTGCAGGGTAAGCGTGTTCTGGAGCGGGACCGCAGGCGACTCCAGGGCCAGCAGCAGCTGCTTCCGGCAATTCTCCGGCTGGGGGATCTCTGGAGAGAGAACAAGACATGATGGAAGGGCTGGGACAGCCGACACCGCTCTCCACACTCTGGATGTGTCCCAGCATGGGAGCGCTGTCAGCAGCAGGGGCCGAGTGCCAGACCCATAGGGACAGGACTTATTTTAATACCCCCAAACGTGTCTGACCTGCCCAGCCACCCGTTCCCAAGCGCGGCCAGGGGAAGCCCTTACCCTGCAGGACGCGAAGGATGTCTCCGTGCGCTGACACCGGCGCAGCGCCTCGCCCAGGGAGTGCACGTCGAAGGGCTCCAGGTCGCCCAGGGTCCAATCTGCCAGGGCACAGATCTCCCATGGGTGGCAGGCACAGCACCGCGCACCCAGCCGCCAGCACCCGTCCCAGAGACCATCGCGCACCACCTGGCCAGCTACGACGGGATGCGGCAGCCCGGCACCACGAGGGAGCTCAGGCAGGATGCCTGGAAGGGCCCCCTGCACT